GTGTTGCCTGTAGGCAACCTGCTCCCTCTTGGACTCCTGAATTCAGTGTGGGTTTTTAGCAGTACCCTTTGTTCAGTTTGAAGACCGCCTGTGAGTGACAGTGGAAGTCTTTCTGTTGGGAACCTGATGTGATGCCTCCTCAGTCCCAGCTCTGGGGACTTCAGGGCATATCAGCAGTGCCGAGTGACACTCTGTCAGTCTGCCATCATCTTCTTTCAGAGGCATTTTTCTCTCTCTGCCTCTGCTTTGAAATTTCTTTCATTCCCTCCCTGAGCCCTTAGCAGTTTTTGCAGTCTTATCTGAATCTTTGGCTATGCCCTCCTTTAATTGTGAACCTCACATTTACAATTTAATTATGAGACTTTGGGTGCTGAGAGAAGTATTGCAGCATTTCCTCCTGCCAATACCTTTCTTTTTCTTACTTCTTTGTATTTCTTGTTCTTCTCCACCCCACACAGCTTACATAATTCTCTTCCCTCTCCTTCCAGTTCCTTACAAGACCAGCATTTGTTAGCTTTGTGCATTAAAGAGAAATACAAATTTGTTTGGTTTTGCCCTACAGAAAGGCAGAATGATTGTGATTCATTTCCTGAATGAAAATGTAGATTCAACGCCCCTGGGGCATTGAAACAATCTTTGCTATTTCCCTCCCACTTTGAAAGAAATAAAGAATGGTGTTGGCAGAGAAAAGTATGTGATTTGGTGATCAAATAATGCCCGGATCTGGTGCTTCTGCTGACACACACACCCTCTGCCAAACTACAGCAGAGCCAAAACCAGTGATACAACCAACAGCTTCCTTCCCATCCTTGGTTCTGCAACAAGCAGCTTCAGGTACTGATGCTGAATCTCTCTCCCCCTTCAGTGGATACTGCCCAGCTGTACTGAGTAGGGTGAAAAAATCCAAAATTATTTCCCCCGTCCCACTTTCCATATATTAGGGCCTCTTTTAGAAAGCCTGAATATACCTCCTGCTGAAAAACTTCCAACCAAAGTTCCTGACAAATGAGTAAACCTAGAGTTAGTTCACTTATGCCACACAAAGCATCACTAGTAGCTGTGCAGGTAGAAAACAAACATTGAAAAAGAGAAAGTTGTGCCCTGAGATATTATGATAGATATAAAATCATGAGCTTGGAGTAGTAGAGAACATAGAGGATAATTATTAGGCAAGAAGAAGGCATAGAAAAATACAGGAAGTGTTGTGCTTATGTGTGTGTACGTTTCTGTGCAGCTGTGCCTCTGTGAGCTCATCAACCTGAAAAATGAAAACCCCTAACTTATAGCCCACCATGAAGAAGAAAAGAAGACCCTGCCTTCACATTTCAATAGCCTGTGAACAGATTTCTTACAGTCCCACATGACCCACCAGAGAAGTATATGATGTGTAATTGAGACTCTCTATGAAATGATGCAGCTCTCAAAGTGGTTTCTGTGTGCTGCACAAGGGTTGCTGCTAAAGGGGAAGGTGGTGACAGCGGCTTCTTCTGGCACCCAAGGAGTAGTTCTGGGAAACCATAACTCCATCTTACAGCTGTCCAGCCCCATGGGATTAACCCTCTCCTACATCACCTTCAGTTTGCCCATGCAGACAGGAGGCTGGTTGGTCAGATGCACTGCAATCACGTGCTGCCTGCATGAAGAGGGCACCAGTCTCGATCGTGTCCAGGTAAATAAAATGTAGGGGTCAGTCTGCCCCTAGGGAATGCTAAGAACAGGCCCCAAACTTGATCCAGAGGTATTGCTATTCTCCCAACAGGAGTACTGCTACCCTTTTCTACAGCAGGAGCTACAGCTTTTTGCCTTCTTTAGGCAATGAATTATTTCAAATGTGGTGGCAGCAGTTCATCTCTGTCAGCTGACCATGAAGAATATCCTCTTGCACCCTCAAAGGCACGCAAAACTTGGATGTATCTCCTCAGTAATAAACAAGCTCAGCCTGCTTCCTACAGCCTACACTGGTTTCTTGTAGCTTTTGGAATTTAGTCCAAGGTCTTGGACTTCATTTTAAAGGCCATGTTTGAGTGTAGTTAAAAGGCTTGCTAGAGCTCATAAATGTACACCATCATCAATAACTTTATCCCTCTATCACACTGAAAGTTTTACAGGGCGAATTTTCTAAAAATGGAGCACTGAATCTCACAGGAAGAAGGGATCGTCACGAACTGTACTGGTTTCATCTTCGAGCACAAAGTGCTTTTTAAATCTGAACTTCTTACATAAACATAGGGGAAATACGAAAAAGATAAATAAATAAAAAAACAAACCGCAATGCTTCATTGCACACACATTCCTTCACGGGGTGTGAATGAGAAAATGAATATGACAGCTCTTAGTCATGTTCCTATCTGCTGTTCTGGAGGGTAATCTCGTACCATGTTAGTGAGTGATGTATTTGAACTGGATCTGCATAGTATATGCATTTCTGTCTCTGAGATTAGCACTAGAAAGAGTGAAAATGCACCATAAAAATTACAGAATTATATGAAATATTCTATTTGTCCTGAGACAGGACTGTCTAATGCCGTCTAAAAGCTCTTGCAAATAGTATTTTTTTTATTTCTGTTGCTTGCATGTTCTATCCAACTTTATCAGTCAAGGTCCAAATTCTGATTTTCTTGTATTTTTTTTTCTTTGTATTCTATAAATTCCCACCACTCTATAAGTTCAATCAACTCAAAGTCCCTGAAGTGGGAAGCACTGCTTGTTTTCCAGGTGACGGCATCAGGTTTTTTTGGAGGCAGTTTCTTGCTGTTCAGTAGCTTTGTGATTCTGCTGGTTGGATCAGTTTCTTTCTGCACCTCTTTTAGCTAAATCTCTAGCAGTGAATACAGATTAAAAGGAGGGTAACGTGCTCCCCCTTTGCTCCTACACCCAGAGAGGGACAAACCTGTCTCCCATGTTCCTGGCATGTGCAAAGCTTTGCCTCCTGCCTCTGCTCCCTCTTTTCATCCATCCAGCTGGCACGGACCAGAGGATGTGCTCCCCCTCAGTACTCCAAGCAGGGATGGTTGCTATCCGTACCAGCTGACATCAGTGCTAATTTCCTGTAAGTTGCCACAGAATAAAGAAGAGGCCTCTTTCTAAAAAATCTTTCCGGCTTGCTTAAAAACACTCTCTGTCTTCTTTTCTTCCTGTGTGCAGCTTGAAGAATCAATAAGGCCTCAGCCTCTTAGCCCTGAGCAGCAGAGAAGCTATTGCTACAGACTCAGCAGGAGGAAGAGCTAGGGCAAGTAAGGAGCCCAGAGATAATCAAAAGTGCCCTCCCATGGCTCAGGATGTTGCCAAGTGCTTGGAGCAGAACCAGAAGGCAATATACTACAGTGCTTTGTCAAGGAAGGAATCATCTTCATTATCCCCACTTAATTATCTCCGAATTTCACTAATTGCACTTACCTTTACCTTACACTTACCAATAGGGCTTGGCCAAGTGATGCTCTATAATATCACTTTTGAAAAACTCTGTATATCTTCATATAGATACTTGAGGACTATTAAAAGGAGCAAGTTGCCTCTTTTACACATCAGTGTATAATGCCATGACAGTGTGGTACAGAGATTATGTGTTCAATGAAATCATTCTCAGTATTCAATGACATTTCAGGCAGCCTTTACAGTTTAAAAGAAACCCCGTTTGTTTCCCCTTACAGTATTCCTATTGAAAGCAAACAAACAAAGAACACCCCCCACAAAAACCCCAAACACCTCAAACCAAAAACCAACCAAACCAACCAAACACAAACCAAATCAAACCAGAAACCCATACAAAAAGGGACTCTTTTCATTTAATACCACAGGAAGTAGGGAAGAGGGGAGGTATTTTGTTGGCTGTTGATAAAAAAAATCCGTTAGTAGCATTTAAAAATTTAGGACTCTTTTTTTTTTTGAGGGAATCATGTGAGGGATATATCAGGTTAGAGTGATAACTGTAAGAATCTACTCTTGACCAGGGAAAGTCACAGAGCAAAGTGCAGTTCCCTTTGGGTAAACTTTTGGCTGATTAAGAAAACCAAGACAGTGCTGAAATTACAGCTAGAATGCAGAAAACTATTAATATGGGGTGGATTGCATCATTTGCTGGACTCTGTCATTTTGCTTGGGTACACTGAAGATTTCCAGCATAATTTGCCCTAAATCATGGGCACGTGACTTCGAGGATCATGTGGAAATCTGCATTGTTGCTGTATTTAAAAGGATTCTTATTGCACATTAAAAAATTGCTTCAGAGGACATATTTTGGTTTAGTGAAAAGAAGCAATAAAGATAAGAACAAATGCACTCAATGCAACAGCAACCTACATTTGTCAAATGCGTGCTTCATTTAGGTCACAGGAAAACTCTGCCATCAGAGAGGCTCAACAGCACTGGCATATCCTCAGCACAGAGGTACCAAACAGTGTCTCCCTCGGTATCTGGGACTCGTTTCTTTTTCATAAACACGAACCTGCTCAGAATTTCCTCTTCCCTGTGACATTTGTCTCTTTCCCTTTGAGACCAGTGGCCTTCTTGCCCTTTACAACAGCAACTCAAGCACAATAAGTGGTGTAGAAAACCTTGCATGAATTCTCTAGCTCCTTCAAGAGGGCTAATCCACCATTTAAGTCCCACAGGCTTAAATGCTTTTTCATCACTTGACCTCTTCATAGGGATGAATTTCTCCTACAGTGAGGACGGAATCCAACAGTTGTTACTTTGTCAGTCAGAAGAAACTATAAAGCAACACACAGTCAATAGTAAATAAACATCAAACAAAATAATAAAATTTGTAATTATCTGTAAAATACCAGTGTCTCATGGATTATTTTCTTGGATTACTGTTTAAAATCTCAGAAGCAATATTTTGAGAAGAATATGATTACAACCATTCTAGTGGAAACAGCAAAATATGCTCAGTGAACAGTCTGTGTGTACAGCCACTGGTCTAAATCAACTCAACTGCCAAACTGGCAAGCACCAGGCAATATGTAAAATGAATAGACAATTCAGAAATGTCCAACAGATAACTAAAATTGAAATTTTATTTTTTTTCAATAATATTCATCAGACAATTTTCTGACAAGACTTTTCTGAAAGATGAAGTGCAAATGGGAACCCTGTAAGAATGTTTAGAAGAATTGTACATGACATTTTTAAGCGCCACTAAGTACACATTGAATACTTTGTAAGTATATAGGCATAGCAACATGCAAGTGTCATGTACCCAACATTACAATATGCATTTTGTCTGCTCGAAGTTATTAATGAGGAAATAAAACGAAGTAAATGTGTCTTATCATCAGTGCAATATGTTTAATTCCTGTGGATTTTTTTTTTTACAGGTTAGCGGTTGTATTTCCGACCCATTCAAATATATCCTTCCCAGGGCCATAAACTTCCAGTGTAAGAGCAGAGTATACTGCAGTTCCTAGGAGAACACACTTACACTGACCATGAATAGATGAAGTTGTTATAGTCCTTTCACAAATTATACCTTATTATTTATTCTAGAAAACTTCCCGCTGAACTGAAGGTTTTTTGTGGCTATAAACTATCTAGACTAAAAGTAAAGGATGCACAAGGATTGCTTTATAATTCTTTTGAAAAAGAGCTAAATAGCAACTCAAACATGTGCATTAAGGACTTGAGCCTTATTCTCTTCAAATCAATAGGCATATTGTACTCAATTTTTATGGAAGCAGGACATATATGAATCCAGTAACCCATGAGCTCACTCTCTTGCCTCACTGTTTTGGCAGAAGCAGATGACTGTAGGTTATATTTGCATATTTTTATGGAAGCTATAGAGGGGTATAAGCAAATCTGCTTTCACTGAAAAAGGACAACTTGTGCAACTGCATATTTACTAACATTAATCAATATGCATAGAAAGGAGAGAAAGAGGAAATGATAAAGAAATCAACCCAGCAATTAAAGATTATTGTCCTCTTTATAATCAACACAAAGGATTGGTGATCATCCTTACCATTTTCTTTACAAGTTATTACTTTAAAATCCCTCCCTTTAAATCTATTATATAAACCCTTCAATATTTCATTTTGGAATAAGACAGAGAAAATTAGCATGTTTAGAAGAAAATAGCATTGGTGATTTTCAGCACTATGCATAAGGGCAGGCTAAGGCTGTCTGTTTGTGTTGAAATGTGAGATCAGAGCTCACACATGAAACACTGCTGGCTTGACCCTGAACACAGGGAAAGTGCTAAAGTGCTGACCCCAACAGGCTTGGCTTTGCACCTGAAATCTTAAAAAACAGAAGCAACAAAAATCCTTGAACTTTTCTTTAATAGTAGCTCAGACTGCTCCTTTTGGAGGAGATACTTTTTTTCCCCTCCCTCCTTTCCAATTAGATCGCTGCTTTTAGCCCAGTAGAGAATAAATGTTTTAAGACACAGAATGTGGAGGGCAGATCTACAGTAAACACAGAAGCCACATAGAATTTTTTTATTTATTTTTTTTTTTCCATCTACTGCAAGGCTCTGGAAGCCCCTAGTACTGTAAAGTCATCATATTGGCTTCACACGTTCTGTCTGGTTGTGAGTACATTAAACATTGCTGAAGAAAACGAACACAGCTTGACAACAAGATGATTCCTAGATGCTGGAAGAGTTCCCTTAAGGGCTGCTGGAAGCGCACAAGGCTTGGAGCATCCTGAGGATGTGGAGTGATACAGAAGTGTGCTGTTAAACCATGTTTGTACCCTTATTTTCTCCTGAGTTAAAAGAAGTGCAGAGTGCTGGGTTAGATTCCTCGATAGCAAGAAGGAACTGTGCTAGTTTCTATTAATGCACAAGGTCCGCTCTGAAAAACCAAGCAGGAAGTCCTACTCTTGAAAAGTTTCTACTCTGCTCTGTTGACATCAAAGGCTGCTCTATCCATTTAATTTTCTCCTACTGTTTGCAATAGTCCTTCTCTGTTCCCCACGCATTGAGTGTTTTTAATGTAAACATGCCCTGGCAATATTATGCTTAAATAAGTAAGAGACAAGTCAGGATATCTAAACAGTATTGATATTGCATATTTAATTCAAAAAGCTTGCATGTGCTTTTAAAAGTTTCTCTTCGTACCTGCACGCCTTACTGGTAAGAACTGTGTTGCAGTTGGATTGCACATCATTATCTAGTGCTGACTAAATATTGATGTGTTATAGCAGTTTATTTTTAAGCTGTTTGGGATGAATCCCCAGCCAGTGTAAATTGGCCCACATTTAAGGCAACAGAGTGAAGCTGATTTATACCAGCTGAGGCTGTGTCTTTATGCCCTGTTAAAAGCTCAAACTATCTCAAAATTAGTCAAGAACAGGGCAAGAATTATGAACCCAGGCAATATTTTTTTCTAGTTTTAACAGAAAAAAATAATACAGTGATACCATTTCAAGACTAAACCAAAGATTCTAGTAGTATTTAAAATGTATACAAATATCTCATAGCTAGTATTTAGACTAAGAGGTAGATGTCATATTCTAGGAACAGTATAGTGTGGAATGATGCTAATGGCAGTTTCTAAATACATGTATTTGCCTGTTACACAGGACACAAAGGAGGGTTATAGCAATGGCAACCACAAGAAGGCTTACAATATTCTTTCCTTCATTTGCTACTCTATATTATCTGTCTTTCAGTGCATTTCTTCTGGAAGGATATGATGGAAAAGTATCAAGAAGCAAAAAGCTCTGTAATACAAAACTTCATGTTTACAAAATGTTAGCTTTATAATTAAAGGCATCCTCTGTACTTTAATGGAAGCATTTTGTACTTACAATTTAACATTACCTGGGGTTACTGAGAAAGTAGTGGAAATTCCAGGTGAGGTGATTCAGCAAAATAGGGTTCAGAAGAATGCAGCTCTCTCTCTCTTTCTCTCTCTCTTTCTCTGTTGTTCATGCTAAAAATACCAGGGCATATGGCAGCATATTTCAGCATCTTAACATACTAGGTTCCCTTGAGGACAGAAAAAAAGAGGAAACTTGTGCTGTTGAGCCAGAAATAAGATTACAGAGCAGCATTGCCAGACAGAGTGCTGGCAGCCAAGCCATTAGCAGAGTCAGTGTCTTACTTTGCCTGAAGGTGTTTCAGTGATATTTAATGAGCCTCCAAGAAATGGAAAGCAAAGCTAGTGAGAATGAGGACTGGTATGAGCATTTTTATAAATTAGTTGTCATTGCAAGTAGAGGAATTACACATATTGCATTAGGATATCCACTGCTTGTATATGTACCTTCCACTTCTTCCTTGTGACTGTTAGGGGTCACCCCCTGCCTGAAATAATCAAAATGCATATTATAATTACACGGTTTTCCAATATCCATACACAGCAAGTACAAGATACTTACATGTAAGTACACTGTATTTACCTATATTTTTGCATAGTTTTTAGTGTGTACTTTGTGCCACTTAATAAAAAGCATTACTCGTTATTTTTGCTGTTGTTTGTTTTTCTCCATTAGACAGCTTATTAAATTAAAGTTGAAGTAGCTGGGATTTTTGGTATGTTCATCACAGATTACCAGTTCCTAGGAGTGTAGAGAATAGACATTTGGAGGAGTCTGGGTAAGCGGTGGGGGAAGCTGCGGTGTGAACATGAAGTTTTAAATCACCTCCTTAATTAAGAAATGCAATATCAGATTCACGATGCTAATTTAATAAACTTACCTTTAATTTGAATGGAATTGTAAAGGTAAGAACTCCATTTTCCTTTTGGTAACACTTTACAATAAGTGGCACTAAATTACACTATAACTGCTATGTTACAGGGAATTACATGTAACTACACTGTAACTGTTGAAATAGCTACTGTACATGTGCGTACATGGTAACTTCAGTGCTGTTACAATCATGAATTACATAATTACAGATGATTCTGTCCTTTCTTTTCATTGAAATAGTTATATATATATATATTATACTGCAATGAAAATACACAAGATGTTAACTTTCATGTCTTACTTAGAAAAGTTGGTTTTCTTCATGTATTCCTTTATAGAGGGAGTCTCAGTGCAAGACGAACCATCCTTAAGTAAATGTGGAAACTTTTTGAAGTGTTCTAGCTTAAACTCTGAGCCTCAAGTTAAACATCAGGTTCCTTAAACTGTCTCTTGGTTTGTCAGATGACGCTAAAAGAGTGGGATGATGCACCCCTTCTCTTCTGATGCACCGCTTTCTTGTTCAAAACATGAGAATGTTCTTGAAGCGTTAAAAAAAAAAAAGAATAAAATCTACATCAAAAAGTTTAAAAATAATCAGCAATCGACACTGTAAACAGTACACTGGCAGAAACTAGCTACCTGGTCTTGAGAAAACTACTCTGCAAGTTAAGTGTGGGAGAGGATGTCACCTACATCGTAACAAAGGTGGTTCCCATTCAGAGCCACACTCGATGGGCACCTCACACCGTAGTAAAAGCAATTTTTCAGAATGGGAACTTGGACAAAGGGAATGGACAACTGGCTTTTGGCCTACTTAATCTGATTGAGTTGATCATGCTGAGCCATGATTCTGCTTACAGAAAAGAGGGATGCCTCTTTACACCTAGTGTGGTAATTTCAACCCGTGAAAACCAGACAGGCCTGCAAAGTGCTACCCAGGTAGAATGCTCTGTGTGGGGTTTTTCACACCTGTGCTGGGCACAGATGCCAGGGACATCACCAGGTGCAAGATAACGGAAGATCAGCTGTGTTGAAAATGAGCACATGTGAGAAGTTTTAATTGAAAGCCAATGAAAAAAAAAAAACTATTTTAACAGTACAATTTGTATCAGTACAATTTCTATGTCTTTTTTTGCCAAGTTGAAATGCTGTTTCTATGCCACCGGAGAAAATGGTTGGAAATTGTTACCACGAGGCCAATTCTCCTTTGGAAGGTCCTACCTGACTTTGGCAGTGTAATGGTCCAAGTAGCAATCCTACTATTCAAACAAGCTGGAGTTAGGAAGAATGCAAAAAGTCGTAAACACCACGCAGGTGGGGAATTCCACGCGAGCAAATAAGGCTCTCATCCAGGGAAGCACTTATTTTTTAAGCATATGAATAGTGCCTTATACTCCAATGGAACTTCTCTGATGCCCAAAGCTGACTATGCACTTAAAAGCTTAGTTGAACTGGGCCCCAGGTCCTGAAATAAAAATTTGTCATAAGCGATACTGTACTGTAGCTAATGTAACTTACTGCTGTGACAAGAACCCATATTTTTGGTATTAAACTGAATAACTTCCTTTGCCAGCCTTTCACATGTGTATGTTTTGAAAGACATGAATATCTTGTAAACCTATACTAGTTTTCAATGTGTCTAGTAGCACCTACCTGGTTCTCTCAAACTACCATATTATATTAACATATTATTGCATTTTTCCACAGATGGGTATGGAGTGAACTGTAAAAACAAGCATGCAATCACATCAATGCAGACTTATTTCTTTAAAATGTCATACTGTATATGATTTATTATGTTAACACTCAACCACATCATATTATTTATGTCTGTATATTTTGAAAAAAAGTGCTGCTTTGATTGACGTCACCTTTTTTTCTTAGAAATTAACAAGATAAATGCTTCAACAAAAACAATTAAAATACTCTAATATTGTCCTTAAAAGGTTTATATTCTTCTGATAAATAATCTGACACAGCACCTTTATCTTCCATTTTACCATACTACATGATGTCGTACTCCAAACTCTCCCTTCCCCACACAAAAATAAAATCCCAGGAGAAAGTCCTTTACAGCAGACCATCATGCTTTTATGCTTCACAAATACAGCAACCAGAGAGAAATACTCTTTCGACAAAGGTGCAAAACGCAGGAGCAAAACAAGCTCCAACTAGGCTAACTCACGTTCTCCAGTGTAGAATCGTTCCCAAGAGCTGTTATGGCAACCTTTTCATTTCATTGGAAGAGGAAATAAGCCGATGGGCTTACAGTGTTTTGTTGTCATATTTAAGAGCATGTGATTTTTCAGCTGTCAATTACACAAAAAAATTTCAGAAATAATCCAAACAGAGACTTTCACTGTGGAGCTAAAAGCATGGCAGGAATTCTCTATCATTCACGGTGACATAAGTTTGTACCTCACAAAATGCATAGACAGGAATTTAATATAAAGAATTAGTCCATTTACTGTATACACAAAACATATATCTTTTGTTTTAACACTTCTATTTTTCTTTTTTTTCCTTTTTTTTTTTTTTAATTTTTTTTTTGGCAAACCAACATAGAGAAGCAGCTCTGGAACTGCCAAATTAAAAATTGAGAATTTTAGCAACTCAATAGTATTTTTTAAGGATAGTAATCAAATGTGGTTGTAATTTAAAACCTGAGGCTGTGCACTGGTTGTTAGCTTAAAACTACCTTTCCATATAACATTGTGCTTCCATTGTATAACAAAGAAAAAATTAACAAGAACTAGAAAAGTTTGCTGCTGAACAGTGCTAGGACATACAGACAAAAAAATACTAACACATGTTATCTACTCAGAATATTGATTTGAGTCATATCTAAAGAGATATAATGGACATTAGAAAATGCTTACTTGTGACTGACAGCTACTGCCAAAAAAAGTTGAATATGTATCAAATAATGTTTAATTGAATTTATTATATGCACTATATACAGATACTAAAATGCCTTGCAGTTGTGTCCCATGAACACTTCAAATTTGAGTAGGCAGGTGAGTTCATGTTTAGCAAATAAATTATAAAAACATAAATTACTCAGAAAGTTCTCTAATCTTCGTGATTCCAAAAGCCAGTAAAAGGGTAGGACAAATTGTTTCAAATAAAGCACTATTATCTAACTTTGCAGAATCTGTATAGCTATTCAGCATGTTTTCACCACTGAAACATGGCATTGTTATCAAGGTACCACTTCAATCATAACAAAACAAAACAAAACAAAACAAAAAATTCACTGGACTGATCTGTTTTTCCACCAAATCCAAACGTAAAGGAAACTATACTAAACAGACTTCAAATTGTGTTTCCAAGGGCATACGTTTCAAAAACAAGTTGCTTTTTGAATTATAGATAGACATGTATAAAACATTCTTTGTAAACCTCTAATCTTAGACTTAACATTTTCTGTAAGTACATTAGGACCTTACCTAATAGTATTCGTTATGAATTTTGTTCTATGACGTACTAGTAGGGACATGATAAAAGAAAACCGAAAAAGAAAGCTGCATAACATTTAAAAATGTAGAAAACTTGGATTAAGATGATGATTAACATTGTTAAGGCTGTATATTCAAGCACTGTATGTTAAGAGAGCAGTGGATATGATTTTTAGGCAATAAGAAATGTCCTGTTTTACGCATGATACTGTAATTATAGAATGATGATGTCAGCAGCTGATTGTTGGCATAAACTGGCTACTTATAGCAGGTATGCGAGTTAATAAAGATAGCAGAAGATGGCAGAAATGAATTCTGAGAAATGATAGCCAGTTTTCTCCAGCAGTCAGCCTGATAAGTAAAACTCCAAGATTCTAGCTCTGCATCTAAATGAAATACTCTTTTTTCTCCTCTGCATTGACTTGGCTGCCTTCTGCATTGATAATGGCTGTGTCGGCATCAGGTGCATCTTCAGCTCCTTTTGCTTCATTTGTTAAATATGTTCCTACAGGAATCAGTACAACAGGAAAGAAAAAAGAAGAAGAAAGATTAGGTTTTTTTTTTTTTTTTTAGCTTTACGCTACATTATAGGAAGTACATTTCTAACAATGCTCTGATTATTTCATGAACGGACAAATATTTTTACACAGTTTTAGTATGCATCATAAAGGTATGCTCAGTTTTCTCATCTGCCTAAGAAATACTTACTCTTTTTATACTGCTAATGCACATACACAAACTCTATTACATCCACAATAAATTAAGGAAATATTTTAATAAAAATCCACTTTATCTAACTGCACTAATAAGCAATATATTTTGCAGTTCTAGAACAAGTGATAAAACTTTGGTTGTTTCATGGAGTAATTACCCATCAAAACCAAACTAACTTTGAAGACTTAGATATTCATAAACTTTTTTTTTTATTATTTTATTTTATTTTAATGGCCACTGATTATTTGTATTTCTGTTCTGTCTTGATCATAGCTATGCTTTATTTTTACAGAATTGTATCATAGTAGTTTCCAAGAATTACAAAATTAAGGCAGTTTTATTAACTGAACCAACTCACATTATATTATCACAGCTATTTTTATGCTCTGGATATGAATAAAAAGAATTGGGTACAATAGTCAACTTTCCCTTTGTGAAAAGCATTATTTACGTTGGCATAAGAAGTAAAACTCTTCATTCAGAAAAGTAAAACAAAAGAGACACACTTTCATTGGCTCATTAAAAAAAATAAATCTTGGTTTTCCCTCACACAGTCCAATCAAATTAAAAAGATGTCTTTATGAGCTTATGTTTGCTAGGCATATGATTATCTAACATGAGATTTAATGAATTAATATCAAAACTTATCCTCTCTTCATTCCTTTTTAAAATTCTTTTGAGGGGACTGACATGGAATCAACTGACTTTTAAGAACAGGTCTACAAGACATGCAGAGGTTAAATCTCAAGAAATGATTTTGGAATTAACCAGGTCAAAATCAAATCATAGAGAAGTCAGAAATCAGTGTCACTCCATCCCTGTCATCTTTAAGGGCAGAGGGGACTGAAAATGAAAAGAGCAGAATTTTTATGGTGAAATCACTGAATAAAGTAAATCTTGCCCCAGGAATTAAACCCTTATTCCAGAGGGATCCTTGATAAACTGATTTGAAAATTCACCACCGGTTTCTAATATTATCTTTTGAATACAAATTTAAAATATCAGCATAATTTATTGAAATGAAAAGTCTTGTTCAGTTGACATATATATATATATATTGAGAATTGATATATAAAACTATGAGATCATGTAATCAAGTGTCTAAGTTAAGGGCCTAAACCAAGGGGCAACCTTACCTCTTAGCTTCTCTAAACAACTGACTTATAAGATGATGTGTCCTTTGCCTTAGCCAGTCCACTGGATAACGGGTCAAAATTCACAGGGGCTTCACTTGCAACTGGACTGTGAACTCAGCTCTTTTATTCAAACCATTTAGCAGATGGGGGAAGGCGAAAGGGAATGGCACTCCCAGGGGAATTCATGCCTTGCTTCCAAAAGTGACGAAACTTCCGTTAAACTTGTCCTACCTTTATGTCTTGCCAGGTATCGACCAAGGAGAATTATAGAACATAGCGTTACAAAGACAACTACAGCCACTATTCCTCCTATAAGAGCGTGGTCAGGTCCGGTCTGTCCAGCCAGAGCGTTCGGATCTAGAGGGAGAAACAAAAAGCAAGAGTGGTCCTACACAGACAAAATATGACGGGAAAATTCAGAATACCAAGCTTTATACTGATCATCCTGAAAATAGGGCATTTCCTTCTTTAATATTCAGCATGGTTATTCCCACTGTTACCCCCAGTAACTTATCAACAACACAGTGCTGCTTGTATTCCCAGATTGTTAAAACCCTGAGGACATCATTGTTACAAAAAATATTACCTTATTCTTCTTTCGGCAGAGGTTATTAAATGGGAAAGGTTTCTAGTTTTGTCCTCACCATTTTACAACTGAAAACCTGGCCATAGCTATTTATAGAAGGAAAAACAAGGAACTGAGAATTGGGGATTGGATAGCATCAGCAGAATAGTGTCTGCATAATACATAATTTATAGAATTGATTCTCAGTGGGGAACCCTTATATATTCTTTTCTCTTCATTCCTATCCTATTGCACCAGAAATAAAAAGGTAGATAAAGTGCAGCCGTGCCAAGTTCCTCTGCACATGGCTGAGTCTGCATGAATTTGGTCAGATAAAGGTATCAGGCAACCTGAAGGATCATCATTCAGCCTCAAGTGACAGTTTGTGAACTTACTACGACTGCTCGATTAATACCCAATGTGAGTAAGCCTGCAATAGATATAACCATGTATTAGCAGGCTCATTTTACTAACTCTGTTCTGAGCTCTAGGAATACTGTCAGATTCAAGCTTTCTGTGCTGGTCACGAGCCTGTTACATTGCCTGATGCTTCACAAAAGTTGCAAAGAAGCAATCATGGGAAATGGCACTACTTAGCGGTGAGTAATTCTGTGGAGCTTTTCAACAGTGAACCAGCAACCCGTGACTGTTGACACACCAGATATATGCAGAAGAAGGTAAAAATTCAATCTAAGGATCACGGTAAGATTTCTATTATAATGAAAATGCCTCTGCTATGAAGTAATAGCAACTGTCTGAAGATGCTATTAGCATGTACTGTGGGCTGCAATCAGTCCACTCTCACTGCTTCAAGGGCATTTCCCTTGTATGAGCTGTTTATAGCCCACAAATAGTTTGCAAACAACTTCTTTGCTTTGCAAAAGGGAAAGGCAGGAAACATATTTACACAGAAAAGAGGACGAGTCCCTGAAGATGATTAGAAGGGCCTCTGATACTGCTGGGGCAGTGTGATTCCATAATACCACAATCACAGTCTGCTGACCATGATCATTGTGTAGCAGCAGAATGTATGGGTACATCTGGTGTGGGAATCTCATGAGGTTTAACAATGCCAAGTGCGGGGTCCAGCACCTGGGTAGGGGCAATGCCCGCTATCAACACAGGCTGGAAGATGAACAGATCAAGAGCAGCCCTTCTGAGAAGGACCTGGGGGGTGCTGGTGGATGAGAGACTGGACGTGACCCAGCCATGTTTGCTGGCAGCCCAGAAAGCCAATTGTATCCTAGGCTGATCCCACAGTGTGGGCAGGAGGTGAGGGAGGGGATTGTGCCCCTCTGCTCTGCCCTGGGGAGATCCCACCTGCAGTTCTGCCTCCAGGTCTGGGGTCCCCTGCACAGGAAGGACATGGACCTGTTGGAGCGAGTCCAGAGGAGGGCCACCAACATTAATAGAGGCATGGAGCACCTCTCCTATGAGGAAAGGCTGAGAGAATTAGTATTATTCAACCTGGAGAAGAGAAGGCTTGAGGGTGGCATAATTGGGGCCTTCCATTACCTGAAGGGAGCCTATGAGAAAGATGGAGAGGGACTATTTACAAGAGGATGTAATGATATGACAAGGGGAAATGGCCTTAAACTGAGAGATATTAGTTTTAAATTAGATACTAGGAAAAAATTCTTTACTGTGAGGGTGGTGAGGCACCGGAAGAGGTTGCCCAGAGAAGCTGTGGATGCCCCATCCCTGAAAGCGTTCAAAGCCAGGATGGATGGGGCTTTATGCAACCTGGTCTAGAGGAAGGTGTCCCTGCCCACGGAACTAGATGATCTTTGTGGTCCCTTCCAACTCAAGACATTCTATGATCTACGAACATACAAGTGTACATAAATATAATGTTATATAAATAAAAGAATCATGTTTCCCCCTCCTTTTGTAATCTGTGAGGCATTCTGAAACCACACTTCCAGGTTTGCTGGAGCACAGAGTGGTACGGCCACTGTTACAGATTCAGTTCTGCTCTTTGCACTCACTGGGTTCATCAGACATGACTGTCACTTGTTGCTGGCTTTCAGAGCTCCCACATTGTTCTCTTCTGGCTGCCAAGAGGGCTTTGGGGAAGCTGACCACATCATGTGGACATGATGGCAAGTAGTAGGTTTAGGGCCTCAAAAAAAGCTACAAACACCTTATAAAGTCAGCTGTGGCTGCTCCCTCCTCCATCTCCACAGAGCTCCTGGTATGGTGCTGTTGTTGGTATGCTGAGCACACATAATCAGTCCAAGGGCACTTAGGCTCTGTTTTGATGATTAAAACTGAACCCCGAGTTCTGTGCACCAGCAGACTCACGGGGTGAAGCAAGAATGCTGAAGCACTGCCTTGGCACAGCAAGAGCTTGGAGCGTGCTGCCATCCTCTCCCGTGCCTTGCAGGGGCTTTGTTTTCCGAGAGGAGCGAGGAGGAGGCGACTGGTCACTTGATAAGATGAGAGGTGACAGCTTGCTGCAGGAATGTCAGCCTGGTTGAGCCACCGAGAAAATTCCTCCTTTTGTGGTGCCTGTGGCAATGTTGAGGTAAACCTCCTCCCTGCAGCACGAAGGGTTCTGAGGACCAGGTCCTGTGTGTGACCTGCAGGAGATGCTCTTCTACAATGCTGGGTCAGGAGCAGCCAGAACATGTTTTCCCAATAAAAACTAACTACTCCTGCTGGTTTACTGGCAGTAACATAAAAGAACGAAAGGAGATATTTCAAGGGATAATAAACTTCCTGATGCAGATGATAATCCAGACAAGGGTTAGCACAGAACTTCAGAGGTATTTTTTGAAAAGCTGATTGAAGTGCACAGCCTTACCTCAATACCCTGATTTACAGTGTATGTCCTCTGCGAGCTTTAATAAACATTATAGATAAAAATCCTCACAATACACTGAGATGAGTACTCCTCTCTATTTTCATCCTGTATATAGTGACTCACTCCTCCTCTGACATACCTGATGTGACTACATGAAGTGACCTAAAGCCAGCATAAACATAAGATTTCCACCTAATAGCATAGATTAATGAGATTATAATGTGCTATAGGTTGAATTTTTTAACATTAAAATTAATGTAGGTATTCATTGGATTGCAAAAGCAGTATTATATATTTTGCTATAATCTCAACCTTGCTATCAAGGTCAAATTATATTGGTTAGCATTCCTAGCGAAGTTTGTCCAGGAAAAACTTATACATGACCTATTACCAATGTACAATATTATACATATTATAATAATATATATTACCAATGAACAGTTTATTTATTGAAAAGAAAAAAGGAAAGGAAGGAGAGGAAGGGAAAGATGGAGAAGAAGGAAATGAAGATTGTTAAATGTGGCCAACGTTTTCTTGGGAAACAAGCATTTTTTTGTCTCAAAATGAAAACCTGTACAACATAAACAATATTCTGAACAGGAAGCGTACCTCATGAATAGTCTCCTCATTGAAAAATAATGTTAGCATTAAATATAAATATGCTCTACATTATGCATACAGAGTAATGCACTATACTTTTGCCTTTCATGAAGTGACCTAAGCCCCATGAGTGAATTATAGATCTGGGGATATCTATCATCGTATAAATAATTTCTATGTCAAAATGTGCCTGAACAGTATTTGAAAAATAGAAATACAGGGATTTGGAAACTATGCCTTTTTGTATTTTAGGTATCTATACAGCATTATACATACTTAGAATCCAGCTGTTTCCATTAAAAAAAAATTAGATTACACTGTTACTGTTTCACATATATACTGGGTTTTTCCTGCATGACCACAGGCAGCTACAGTAGTCATGGTCTGAAACAGTGAAATTACAATTTTGCAATCTGATCTTCATCAAAGATCAGTTCTTCTTCTGTTTATTTCATCTTTTGATGAGACTAAGAAAATCTTATAGAAAGATAATGACACAGAAGCTCATAATTCTCTTTTATTTGCTTTTGTTCTAAATTTAGGAAGCCTCTTCAAAGTACTGATTGCTGATGCTGTGAAGATGTACCCATTTTCAGTTTCTGGGGTTTGGCCATTACTGTTTGTTCACAAACAGTGAATACACTTAAACGAAATAACACACATTTAAATTAAATAACACTCTTAAAATGACTAAGAGTGGAAAAAAAAAATGTATCGTTCATCAGGAAATAAAACACATCAGGCAAATCTTAGACCCATTAAATAAGTAGATATGAGCTTTTATGACCTGCTGACAAAGTTTCAGTGTAGAATATTTTAATATGAATTCACACTTTAGTTAAGCAGAGAAATTTTGGAACAGTTTTTCATGCTTTTGCATAAAGTATATGTTAATTATTCATCTAATTTCAGTTTCTTCATGCATAAGTTTCCTTCTTATTTATGCATAGTTGACTTGACTGAGCAGGCTGCAGGAAAGGGTCAGATAACCCTTTCCTGAGCCAAGGCAGAACAAGTACATTTGTGAATGCTGAAATGGCATATTTTTGGGAATACATGTTCAAGTGGTCCCCTCTACTGCAGAACTTTATCAACATGTATTTTTATCTCACACCTGATTTTTTTTAAAAAAAATCACTCTGAGATGACCCAGGTTTGAGGCATCCTTTATTTTAGCCATTTCTACTAAAAGAAAAACTGGAAATAAAGGTCCTAATTTGCTGTGGAGCTTAAATAGCATTCATAAAATGAAGAGATATAAGTATATGTATTATTCATAAATGACTGTTCCTTAAGGCTGGGAAAAGAACAGGGATGTCCCATTTCTCACAGAAGGACTGAAACCACCAACCTACAGTCACTTTTACTGATTTCATGAATAATCAA